AATAAAATGTACACAGAAATCAAAACTTTTCCCCTTGTATATTAGTATAGTGGTAGGGGGAAATATTCTATTCAAAGTGAAAACAAAAACCATAAAATAATTAGTGATAAAAATAAGGAAGAAAGCTGAGTGCGATGCTGCAGGTTTATAAGTGCAGTGCTCTTGAGACTAGGGAGGAAAGACTCCAGGTTCAAGCCCACCCCGGGCAATTTAGCGAGATCATGTCTCAAAATTAAAAATAAAAAGGAGTTGGGGGTTGGGAATTTAGCTCAGTGGTGCTGCCACTTGTCTTGCAAATGCAAGGTTCTGAGTTCGGTCTCCCGATACCAAAAAAAGGAAAAAAAAGGACTTGGGATGGAAGTCTCTGAGATCAACCCCTGGTACAAAAGTAAAAAAGAATAATAAGGTAATAAAACATGATCCGAATAAATGAAAAGACATATAAAGATTATTAGGAAGATAATATAAAAATATTTCACTCCAAATTCATATATGTTATTTAAAGCAAAGCCGAAGTAAATTGTTCAGGAACTATTCAGAGTCAAGCTTAAAATCTGGGCTGGCTAATAGATGTTGATTAGAAATTAAATTTTACTTCACCTAACTTCACAGAAATCACTCCAGAATATACTGAAGAGGTTATGTACTTGCTACTGGCATCTCATGAGCAGGGGGTAGATAGAATTCCCAGGTAGAAAAGGTAAACAGGATAAAAAATCCTCATGAAAAAGGCAGAGGCCTTTTTAAAAATGAGCCAAATTCTCACTATATTATTCTCAGCATACATCCTGTGCTAAGGGAGGGAGGTAAAAAGCACATTCTGGCTGGGTGTGGTGGTGCATGCCTGTAATCCCAGCACTTGGGAGGCTGAGGCAGGAGGATCACTTTGAGATGGAGACCAGCCTGGGCAACATAGTGAGTTCCAGGTCAGTCTCAACTACATAGCGAGACCCTTTCTCAAAACAAACAAACAACAAAAAAGCACATTCTGCCTAAGACCATGCTGCATTATCTCTTACTTTTCATATTCTTTAACATCATCTTTTGGAGCTTGTCATTTGTTCTGAAACTTGACCCAAAGTTATAATATGAAAATACTGAGTTTTAAAATTATTTGGATGTAATAATCCTCTATATAAGACCTATAGAAGTGCATGTGTGTGTATATATATATATATGCATTTGCATCCATGTATCTCTCTTTAGACAAACATACAGAAACATTAGTGCTAAGGGGGATAAGCTATGTACAAACTTGGGGAATGTTCCCTAAGATACTGCTGAGCCTGATACTGTTAAGAAAATAGTCTCTGAAGCCTTGTTTCAATATGCAATTCTCTTTACAACTTATATTACTGGCAAGTAACTCAATCTGTTTTTGTACCTCAGTTTCCTCATCTGCAATAATACATATGTCATTAGTTAATTATAAGGACGAAACATCAAAACAGTACCTAGAACAAAGTCAAATCCTATTAGTTTTCACTATCATATTTTAAGCAACAAAAAGAACTACAAAGTAATTTTGGGTAGGTGTTCTCAACTATATCGGTGCTAACTTTTTTTTTTGTCCTTTGTATTTTGTAATGCTAGATACTAAACTCAGCCTTGCATAGGATAGTCAAGTGTTCCAGCCGAGTAGGAACATTTTGGACCAGAAAATTCTACTGCACTTTCCTGTGCACAACAGGATGCTTAGTAAAAATCCTGCTCTCTATCCATTAGATACCAGTAGCAACGAGTTCCTACTTGTAATAATCAAAACATCTTTACACCTTGCCAAGATCATCCTGAGTTGAGAATTACTACTTGAAGGGGATAAAAATGCACAATGGACAAGGAATGTGCCTTTATTTTTTTTTTTTACACACATCCAATAGTTACATTTCTTAAATGTACTACTTTTCCAATTTTTAAAAACATGTAATAAAAATTTTTTAAAGTGAAAAAGTGATTATGGATAATTATTAAAAACAGAAAACAAATCAATGGCTTCCAAACCAGTAAAATAAGAGGGGATATAGAAAATTTATACAAGAAAAAAGGTGACAGAAAATAAAAAAATAAAGACAGTGAGCAGAAAATATAAAATAGAAGAAATACAATCAAATATGTCAGTAGTCACAATAAATATAAATGAATTTAACTCACCTATAAAAGAGAGATACTATCAAACTTAATTAAAAAAATTCCAGCAATATGCTGCTTACAAGAACACCCTAAAACAAAACAACACAGGAAAGTTGAATATAAAAGAATGAAAAAAGAGATAATAGTTAAATATTCACCAAAAAAAAAGCCAGTAAAACAATATATAATTCAAGGTAGGATCTGAGGTGCAATCACAAAGATCCACCACACGAAGAAATTATAAATGCCTAATAATACACAACGGAGGAAACATCTAGAATTACAAGAAAAAACTGACAACATATCCAGTGTTGGGAGATTTAAATATCATATCTGTCTCAGAGACACTAAAAATTAGCACACACATCTTCTCTCACATACACAAACACACAGACACATGTGTAGGGACAGAGACTACAAATAATAAACAGGGAAAAATGTAAATAAATCGTGCATTTGGGTAAAAAATATGCAAAAGTTCTTTGTACTATTCTTGCAACTCTTCTGTGATTGAAACTGTACCAAAATAAAAATACCAAAAACAAAAAACAAAAAACAAAAACCTACATATCTACTCTGAAAATAAATCATTCATTATTCTATGTGAGAAGTTGGAAAAAGAACATGACATAAAATCTAAATAGCAGAACAAAGGAAATTCTGAGCAGAAAATACTGAAACACAAAACAGAAATATAGATGAATCCTTTAAAAAGTCTAACAAAAAAATAGACATCTCTAGCAAGACTGAGACAAAAAAAAGTAAAACGATAAATATTAAGAATGAAATGGAGTGACTAGACACTAAATAGAAAGTATGGATTATAAGAGAATAACATGAACAATATTATAACAACAAACTGGAAAATCTATATCTAAGGAATTTTTAAGAAAAATATTTACCAAAATTGACTTCAAAAGAAACACATCATCTAAATAAGCCAAAAGCTATGTAACACACTGCAATAGTATTCAAAATTCTCCCTTAAAAGAAGGTAACAGACTTAAAGGTTATAAAACTGAGTATTATAATCCTAACTTTTACAACTAACACAAAGAAGAGAGTATAATGTTGGTACATATAAAGTCATGTAAGTAACACTAAATTTAAAAAAATTAGCAAATAAATTTAGCACTGCATTTAAAAATATTCATCTATGAGCCAAGGGGTTCACCCTGGAATTATGTGGCTGATTTAACAACAGAAAAACCAATCAATATAATTTATCACATTGGTAAGGGGGAAAATGATCACCTTAGTAGATGTAAGAAAAAAAATCTATAGTAAAGCCTAATATCCATTTATTATATGAATTCCTAGCAGCTAGGAACAGAAAGAAGTGTTGTTAGCATGACAGAGACTACAGCAAACAAAATAGTTGATGAATCCTTAGAAACATTTACATTGAAGTTAGATACATGATGAAAGAATGGGGATGCAGCTCAGGATTGAAGTACAAGTACAGTACTTGTCTAGCTTGCTCAAGGCCTGAATTCAATCTCTAGCACCACCACCACCACCAAAAAAAAAGATGAAGATGCCTACTTCTTATATTTTTAACATGTTAAGTCAACAGTGTTGTGGAGATCTCAGCACTAAGACAATAATAATAAAAGGAGGATTAAAGATAATTTTGGAGAAAATCCGAGCAGAACTGGAATTTGCAGAAGATATGATCACACAGAAAATCTAAAAGGTAAGAAAACCATTCCAAATTTATTTGTTGGATAAAAGGTCTACACACAGCAACCACTAATAACAAATAGGAAAATGTGATTTTTTTAAAAAAGCATCAAAATTTTGACAATGGCTGCAAAAATAGGGCCGGGGATTTAGTTCAGTGGTTCCACTGCCTGCCTCACAAGCACAAGGACCCAAGTTGTCCCAGTACCAAAAAAACAAAAAGACTGAAAAAATAATTAAAAGCCTAATAAATCTAAGCAAAAGATATGTATGTAATTGTATATGGTAAGCATTTTTAACCTTACAAAAAAGACCTCAAGAAAAGTTGAAAATATAAACCATGGGCTTGCTAGAATAAGTCAAAGTTCTAAAGATGTTAACTGTCTTTCAAATTCAGAATAATTTCTATGAAAATTGCAATTTCACAGGACAAACTGATCCGAAAATTTTTATGAAACAATGAATGGCCAAGGATGGACATAGTTGGAAGCACTCCAAAAAGGAGATAAAGCAGAATAAACACAGACAATAAGAAGCTGGCAATATCTAGTAAAGCTGAAGATGAGTGAACTTCACAACCCAGGTTATCAAGCCATTATAAGTTGGAAAATCAACCTACTAAGTTATTATTAATCTTTAAAATAACATAAAAAAGAATAAAAATATTAGAGCACATAACACATACTAAGCCTAAATATCATTTAATGAAAAGTATGTCAAGGAATCTCAATATATATGCATGTATATATTGAGTTGTTACATAAAATAATTTCTATTGTGCAATTCTAAAGGGATTGTGCTGGAGAAACCCTTCCACACATATGTAAGAATCTTCACTGTAAAAGTTTATAATAGAAAAAAAGATGGGAAAAATTTGAATTTTATTACAAGACTAGATGAACTGGGATGTAGAGTCACACTATGGAATAGATGAATTAGATTAAAAGTATCATCATAGATGAATGTTAAAAACATGGTGGAAATGGGGAAAAAAGGTGAAGGACACACATGGTTCTGTAAAGTGAAAAACTTAAAAAAAAAAATGTATCATTTATATGAACCGTAAGCCACATAATATTAGAAATAACTATGTATCAGGTTCAGGTTAATAGCTACTTGATTTGAGGGGGAAAAGGGAGATTTCAAGAGTATCTGAAATGTTTTTGTTTTCAGTCTCCAAGACCAACCTGTGGCAATGACTTATCCCCATCAGCATGCAGTTTTAACTTCATCAATGCAACCTTTGCAGCTGTTTCACTATTTTTTGCACCTTTCCGTCGTTTATTTCCAGTCTCTCTTGTCTTAGAATCTAAGAAATCAATGTAAGCGTGTAAATATATTAGGAACTTGCCTTTTGCAGTATTATAGTAAAACATTTGTTAATTATAATCCCACAACATACATACATTACACACAATAGAAATGCACAGAAACCACATTCACTTTGCAAGTATTTATATGGCTAATGGAAAATTTTCACTGAGGTTTATCTAAACCAGTAATGGCGCGTGAACCTTCAGTTTTCCAGGATAACTAACAGTCTGCTGAGGCGTGTGTGCCATACGTTTGTCACCACTCATCAGGGCACTCTTCATCCACAGCCCAAAATTCACTGCTATGTTTCTTTCCAATATAAGGCTATTTGATCTGAAGTAGTCATTAATGCTTCTATAAAAAAATTTAGGATTTAGTACTAACCTTAATCTAGAATGAAAATTCTGCCGAACTAACATACTGACAGAGAGAAACGAACTCAAGGGTATGGCTACGGTTTACATCTCAATGTCCCCCCAAAGGCTCATGAGCTCATAGGTGGAGCTTTGGGGAGGTGATTAGATTACGGGGGTTTACAGATAAATGTGAGGTTGGGAAATGAAGCCTGATAAGAGGAAGTGGGTCACTGTGGGCGTTGCCTGCAGGGTATATCTCCCTCCCTCCTCCACTGATCACTCTGCTTCTCACCACCATGCTATGAGCTTTTTCTTCTCTGGCATGGCCCTCTGCCATACTGCTCTGCCCTGAAGCTAGCTGACTACGGACTAAAACCTTTATGATCTGTGAGCCAAAATAAATCTTTCCTCCTTAAAGTTGTGGGTGTCAGATATTGTGTCTCAGTGACAAGAAAGTAACTAGGTCAACTTATTTTTTCGTGGTACTCATACTATCAAAGAGTATTCATAACACACCCAAATAGGCTTATAAGAGTTTATTCTATACAGAAAGCAATCCACTATGCCAATTTTATGAATACCATATCTAGCCATAATGGTTAACAAGCCTATCTAACCATCCCAGCAAATGAGACCATCACATGGGGTATTCACAACATACAAATTATCATTGGTCAGGAAGGTCTTGTTGACAACACTATCACAAGAATGTCATTAATTTACAGGTTATTGCCAATAGGCCTGTTAGTAATACATTCCATAACTGGTAAGTAGCTTTAAGAGGCAGGAGCTCTGGAACAGTCTGGAACACCAAAACAATTCTAGATACTTACTAAGAATGTCTTTAACAAGCGTTTGAGTGGCAGTCATACGAGGTGTTGGGATCTCTAGCTTTTCACACTCATGATCTGACTGATGACGGTGTCTATGAGGAAGATAAGAGTGATACCATTTAATATATTGGTATAAAATTTAAACAGATATATAAACCTTGAACAGTCTAAGTGATCCACCTTAGGCAAAAATTCTTCTCACAATAAGGACATATAACTGCCACAAGCTCTCTCTGAGCACAGTCCTTGAATGAGCACGGGTAAGATTCATGTGTATCTATCTTTGGTTTCTCACTGATTGCAGTCACCTGAAAATGTAAAAAAGGAAAAAAAATGGCATTATAGTTCACATTTAGAGCAAACTTACAAATCTATTTCGGAATGCAGCATTCATATCATTTTTGTTTGGCCTTATTAGATCAAGCTATATACGCTTACATAAAAATGATCATGCTGTGTGATAGTGTGTTGCTATTTTAAACTTTCATACTGTAGCATATTTATCTTCTATGCCAAGTTGAAATGACTTCTCTTAATCTTCTACAATGCAATAGGCTGAAAGAGGCCCTCATAATAAAATACACTTTTTTTTTTGAGACAGGGTCTTACTATGTAATTCAGGCTGGCCTTGAACTGACTAAGTAGACCAGGCTGGCTTCAAACTCACAATGATCCTCCTGCCTCTGCCTCCAGATTTCTGGGATTATAGAAAATATGCTTGAGTAATCAATCATTTCATCAGTTCCAAATGGCAAGTCACGACTATATTCTATACCCATTGTAGGGGACTGCACACCTTATTTAGTGGATAGAATACTTTAAAATTATATTGAGGCAGAGTTAAAGATAATTTTCATAATCATAAATTACTTTCTGTGCTATAATTAGATCAGAGGAAGGCAAGATTTTGTAATACTAAAAAAAGAAAAATTTTGCTTGGAGAAATAATTGCTTAAAACTTGTAATCTGAGGAAATTCCTTTGGATTAATGATAGTTACATTTGTAGGAATGAACTTAAATATCCTTGCAAATTTCTTGCAATGGCCCAATGTTAAAATTATTATTTATTTAATTGAGAGCTAGTAATTTCAGATTCATAGAAATAAAATGACACAAGAAAAAAGAAAACATGAAAGATTTATAAGCTGTGTAAGAAATATCAATAAATTTTATAAAATATAAATATTTCCTGCTACCATGTTAGATTTTATTTTCCTCAGATAAATCTCTTCAAAGGCTCACATTCTGACTCAACCCATGTATCCTTAATTTTCTATAACTGAGAGAACAGATGTGAGAATACCTAGAAAAATGCTTGATAAATGCTAAGCAGGAATAAACATCAGCTGTACAGTGTTAGAGACAAATGCTTCTTACTATGTGGTGATTCAGTTTAACTTTCTGTCTCTTTGCCTAAAAGATAAGTGAAAAAATGTAGCTGATTGCCAAGTTTAAGAAAATTCTTACATTAGGCGCACAAAGGAATTGCTTTCAGGAAGGCTAACCTGGTCCAGTATTGCTGTGACTAGGACAGCCTAATTCTAAGTTTCCTCAGCAAACCTCTTTGGCTCTATGCTAAGCTTCATCATTCAATTTGTTCACTATCAGTAATGAGTATTATTTGGCTTCTATCTGCTATCTATCCTTTTAAATTTATCAATTTGTTTGGAATTAGGATAGGGATATTGCTGGATTACAAATTTGTTTATGGTGGTCCAAGGCTGACTGAGCCAGAAAAACGTGCTAACAAGGAATCCTACCACCAGATACCAGTGAAAAATAAACACAGCAGTGAAATAATGAAATGGAAGGATTATATTTTGGCATTCATTCTAACATATATTCATAAACATATATTATAAGGCTAAGTGGGCTACTAAAATAGAAATGTTAAGGAATAAGAATTATGAGAATAAAAAAAGTTGCAAATACCAAATAGATACATTTTTCTTTAAGAAAGAGAAAAATAATATTAAATGAAGCAAAATTCCCTTTACCTAATCAGTTTAGGATATCAAACTTGAATCTCTAGCCACTGACTAGCTTTTAATCTAATCAAATTCTGAATGAAAATACATGAATACCAAAAAACATTATCAGATTAGAGAAAATTCACATACCTCAGGACAACCATGAGATTCTCTGCTTCTGTGTTCAACACTTCAAAAGTTAAAAGAAAAAAAAAAGTTTTTATTTAAATGCAAAGAAATAATGCAAGATAAATGCAGCAAACCAAGCTATTTTAATATGGTATCCTTAAGCTACATTATACTCACATTACATAAATAACTTTTCATATAAAAGTAAAACAAATGCCAGATAAAGATGGAATATCTATAGTCTCTAAAGATTTAAAGCATAAATGTTCTCAATATGGGTAAAAGAACTTATTACTCTAAATTACCTTCATTTTGAGTGCTTTAAAGTGCATGAAAACACAAATAGACCTTTCAATTTCTTTTCTTCTTAGAGGAACCAGTAAGGATCATCAGAGATAAATTGTCAAAGAGTACTCCAATGTTAATGGTGTAAAAACATGCATTATTTTTATTTACTTCTAAGAAATCCTTGTGAATTATATTTTGAAGTGGATTTGTTCATTTAGTATTCTAATAAATTAAATGCCTGATATTTGAAATTTTAATTACAAGTTTCCCTAAATCCTTGGTTAGTACCCAGGTTTTACCCTGCATGTGATATGTTCATAGAACATGTGACATCCAATTTAAGCAATTTACAAACTTGGCTCCTTTCATTTATTAATGAAATAATTTTTACCTTATTCATTAATTCATATGAATCACCCATTTCTGCAGGTTTAAAAATGAGTCACACATATGTACAAGTGGAGCCTATGACTAGTCAGTTTCTTTTTTTCCCCCAAGTAATTATTATATATTAATGGCTAAAATTATTTCAAATGATTATACTTTTTGGAAATTACCCCTGTATTATATGCACTGACATTACTCCTAGATCCTACATAAAAAATTAACTTACCAAAATATTCCTGAACAACCATCACATACAAATGGAAGAAAATCTAAAATTGGAAGAAATGTGGTAGGCACTGGTCAGTATCTGCTTTTGATTTAGTTTTCTTACGGAAAAGGAATTTTAAGGAGATACAGTATAGTATTTCTTAAAAGACTGGCCCTCCTTTGCAGGAGAACTCTTCTTTTTGACTAATTTTCTAGTATATCACCACATAATCATTACTAAACAAAAGTCTTCACAACTTCATTAACTCTGGAAAGAAGTGAGTAAATAGGAGGTAGACATTACTTATAATAAATTTATTAGATGAGAAAATAATTTTGATGGCATTTTTCTCTTTTCTTTCTTTTCCCTGTATTTCCAGATTTAATAGGTGTTCTTTCTGAAGATCTCATATTGTAAAAATTCTGCATTTGGAGGGAAAACATGGATCCAAAAACCTGGAGGTTTGTCATTCCACTGCTTACTAATATTGCTCTATTAAGTAGGTTACTTAACAGTAAGCTTTTGGATATATATATATATATAGTATATGGAGTGAGATATAGCATATAGTGTATAGTACACATATCTCTCCCTCCATGCATGTTATATATACATATCCCAAACCTAAGCTCTATTTTTAGCTAATACAAATGGGTATAGTGAGGTAAATACAAACATACACACACACAAAGCATAAAGCATATGTATATATGTATGAATATGCATATGTATCTATAGGTCTCTATCTGTATCTATGCTGTAGGCCACACCTACATCGGCAAGTAATTATAAAATCCAAATGAGATATGTGTAAAATATCAGAATAACAAAATAGTAACTATAATTAGTAAGAATAATTACAACTAACTTCTTTTGAATATGTTTAACTCCAGAATACACTGGGTGGATATGCTTTCAAAAAGATTACTGAAATTCAATAAATGGATCCATACTTTTTAAAGTTAACTATTGAGTTATTTCCTTGTAGTTGATAAACAACTACATTAGGGCCAAGCCACTAAATTAGATACTGACTTTTTGGAAAGCATGTAAAAGTATCCATTTTCAGATGTGACAACTAAGCATTAATTGCTACACATAATTTTCAACACATTTAATATTAAATTACACTGTAGTGCTGAGGATATATCTAATTGCATCACTTTTACAAGTGAAAACCAGAAGGTACTGTTCAGTCCCTCTTTAAAGAAAGCTACAATTGTGTTGAAAAGATCTTACCCCTCAGGGCATCTTAACCCAAAATAGATAGTACTGTAACCCAAGGGGATCCCTGGATAATTATGCTTGTAGAATAAGTCTAAATAATTCTTTCTTTACATAGAAGTGGGTTTAATAACCCACTTTATGCACACATCTGGAATGAAACCCAGTACCAAAGAAGCAGTCTGTGATAAGGGAAAAGAAAAAAATAGGAGAAAATGAAAAAAACGGAAATAGAGTGTTTGTAAATGGGGAGGGAAAAAGGGGGTGAAGGGAGGGCAGGGACAAGGGGAAAAAATGAGAACCAAGACCTGTCATGTAAAGGTACAAGATCCCAATGATGAATATAACTGTACTGTATACCTAAAATGTACCAATAAACTCAATGAGGAAAAAAAAACAAAAAAAAAAGAAGCAGTCTGTGTAATACGGATACTTCAAGAACCTAACTGTTGCAGGAGTACCATATAATGAATCCTGTGCTACTCTACCAGGGGCTATGTGTATTACAAGATCTCTCTGTTCAATGGGAAGAGACCACCATCATATTGTCAACGCTCTCTAGAATGCAGCTTAGCAGTCTGAAAGCTCTTCTGTGTAAAAGACTGTAGTAATTTATAGCTTTATGTGAGTCCAGTACCAAAATCAATGCTTTATAAATATTTGTTCAAATAACGATAATCAGGATCAAAGAAATGAGCAGGAAGCGGATAATGATAAAGAAAAGTTTGAGGGTGATCACCTCTCTCAGAATCTGACAAAGGGCTTCTCACAGACTGATCTGAGGCTGTGTACACCAGGTCTCAACACCTAACTCCTTCGTCTGACGTGAGTAAAAGATAAGTACATAAAAAGTCTGGAAAGTGGCTCGTCGACAGCAGCAGAGGCAGGCCAGAGGGAAATCTCGATCTCCGGGACCTCAGCCTCACTTGGCCGGGGCTCATCAGAAAGGACTTGAGGGCTCCATGACCCAGCAGTGTGCGCTCTGTGGCCTTCTCAGGAAAAGAGCACTAGCCATAGTGAACTCCTCAGAAACTGCGTATAGACCAGAGAGACAACGAGTTTCTTCCAAAGCCACAGGGGCAGCAACAACCGAAAAAGTACCAACACACTCCCAGCTGAACCCGGAGGGCGCACCCGCCCCGCTCCTCACACTCCGCTCCGCCCTGAGGCCTCCCCTCACCCGCGCCACCATCCGTGGGGCGAAAGCAAGGCCTTGATCTCTCGCAGCCGGGATGGGCACTGCTGCATCACCTCGCTGCCTGCAGTACTCCAACTGACAGTGTTGCCCAATGTCCAACTCCGCCATCTCCCGGCGCCGCAAAGTGGGGAGGGATGGTCACATTGCACCGCGGTGCCTGCTGGGAGCGTGGGTGATCCAGGGGCGGGGCCTGCGGGTGGGGGCGGGGCGAGGGCCGGAAACTGCCCAAGAGCAGAATCCTAGGCTGTTCCTCTGTTCTTCGAAGGGGCTCTAGCACAGGTGCGGTGGTTTCTGGGTGTCTTTCTCCGAGCGGAAGAACTGAGCCATTCTGGAATAGTGCGTGCCGCCGCAAGAATCGGGAATGACTTTAAACGAATTAAAAAAAAATTTAAGAGCATAACCTCAGGAATCAGCACAGTACCTGACACAAAGAATTGCAAGAAGCAATTAAAAGCGACGGACACTGCTTATTCAGTCCATGATTTGATGCTGCACTAATTTACTATGATTAGTTTGAAGTAAATACCCGTGCAATGGAGTGATAAATGCTTTTTTTAAAAAGTTTTTTTTCTCGTCTTTAAAATTTTTTTTCACAGAGCTGGGGATTTAACTCAGTGGTTCTGCCGCCTGCCTCTCAAGCACAAGGTCCAGAGTAGGATCCCCGGTACAAACCAACAAACAAACCCTTGAGGTCTCGAGTATGTACTGAACATACAGAGTTCTTCAGTTTGTACAAATTCGTTTAACACGACTTGGAGTAAACAGGAGATTCTCATTAAGGGAGCCTTCATGTGCCAGATGAGGCACTGCCCAGGTAGTGAGGAAGGAGAGGCTTTTGTAGGTGGGGTAAAAAAGATGCCATTCCACCAGCGTGACACCAGACACAGTCAGAGTAGATGAGTAACAACTACACTGGTGACAGGGACTTGAGAACTATTCGATTCATCCTATATAACTGAGGATTCCCAAATTAATATCCATTGTGGAAGGCAGAAGGGTGGAACTGGGAAACAAGAATTAATATTCCAGGATGCGCTCCTAAAAATATCTATTTAAGATATAATCTCAGAATTGCTTGACTCTCTGGAGAAACTAAATTTTTTGCGTTTAGCTTTATTTTTTAATTTATTTTTTTAAACCTGAGAAGACTAGTTCATGGAAGCTATATGATTTGTGTAAATTAGCAGAAGAGCTAAGACTAAAATCCAAGTATTGTACCACGACTTTTTGAAACTGAGGATCAGTAACCTACCAGAATATCCAGTCACTCAATCAATAGCAGGTTTTCTAGATAGGTATTTGAATGTTGTAGATAGGTGGTAAATATATATTTTATCAGTCGAATCATATGGAAATGTTTTTATTTTGTCAGTTCTTAGAGACCTCATGGAACATAGGTGGTTAAAGTTGTCAGGATTGAAGTTCCTACCTTCCCATTTCTAGTCCGTTTATTTCCCCTCTGGTGCTACTTAAACACATCTATTTCTCTATAATTTGTCTTTGATTAATTCATTAATTTACATCCCTGTAAAAGTGAAATTCCCATACAATACCCATGTACTCAGTTCTGAGAACTTTATTTGAAACTGAGGTCTCTATTTCTAAGGGTCTGTTACAAGTATCCATTTAGTGTTGTCATGTAACACTTTAGTCCAAAATGAAATGTTTCCTTCACATATCATCCCCTCCCTAACAAAGGCAGGCTATTAGAAAGGCTGGATTCATTTTCTGCTTTTCCTTTCTTGCTTTTCTCATGGGCAGAGCTATTAAACATTATCAATTGTGTCTCAGAGCTGTCTCTTAAATCTGTACTCTTGAATTTCTCTGGTTAGCTACTAAAAAACCCTCACTTTATCACCTATTACCTTCCCACAGTTTCCCATCATTCGCAGAATTCTTGCTCATTCCAAAGATTTTTGCAATCTCGCCTCCATTCTGTTCTCCAGTCTCAGTAATAACCACTTTCCCCACAAACTCCCTACTCTGTTTCCTACCTATCCTCTATTTCGGTAACATGCATTTTACACAACGCCTCTCTTTTTTCCCTGGAATGTTCTCTATACCAAGATTTCCCATACCTTCTTGAAAATAAGAATCAAGTGAAGTGCTTGTAATGAATACAGCTGCCCATACTCTTCGCGGAGTCTAATTGAGAGGGTCTGGAATGGTTCTGGGAAACTGTATTTTTTTAAATTTTTTTTCTTTAATTGAGTTTATTGGTACATTTTATATATAGTACAGTTACATTCATTATTGGGACCTTGTACCTTTACATGACAGGTCTTGGTTCTCATTTTTTCCCCTTGTCCCTGCCCTCCCTTCACCCCCTCCTCCCCTCCCCATCTACAAACACTTTATTTCCATCTTTTCATTATCTCACATTTTTTTTCTCCCTTATTATCCTTCCCCCACCAATCCCACCTTCCCTACACCTTTAGCCCCTTCCCATTTCACAATGTCAGTAATCTTATTAGGATCTTATGTATTATTACAGTTTATTCACACCAGAGAAACTATTCGGTATTTACATATGTGTGACTTATTTATTTCACTTAGGAGTATATCTTCAATATGTATCTATTTTTTCTATAAAATGAATTCATTCATAGGAAAATGGGAAGCTGTATTTTTAACAAACACTTTCACATTTATTCTTATCAGTTAAGTTTAGGAAGCACTTTTGTCTCTTACTCCACCTTTGGATGTAATTCTCTTACTCCTTCATCTGGGAAGGCTTTTTCAGGAGGCACAGGCAAAATCCAGCCCTCCAGGATAGCAGATCTCTGCTCTAGTAGCACTTACTACTTTTCTTATTTCCACCAGCTTGGTTGTATTATAATTACCTGCTTCGTTCCCCAATTTTTCCCCAACGGCTTTTGTTAACTACAAAATGAAACACGCTCCAAGGTCAATTCACCGATACACTTCATAGAACCAACTACGTAGCTGATACTATTCTATGTCTGATACAGAATTGAATAACACACAGTTCCTGGCTTTAAGGAGCTCACACAGGCTAAAAGGGATTATTTTGGTTAGCATTTAAAATCTTTCAAATCTTGGCCCAAGTTGCTCTTCTCTTATTCACCATCTCTCAAAGGCCTCTTCATACTCTGTTCCCCACAGCTTCAGGCCTTTTCAACCTGCTGTTTCTGCCACCTGAAATGCTCTTTTCTTCCCTACTTCAACTCATCCATTTCTTCTTTTCCTCTATTTGTCACCTCAAGCATCTTTTGCTTAAGAAATTCTTTGTTCTCTGCAATCTTGCCCTTAGCACTTTCACTTTGCATCTTTTTCAGAGTATTTGTCTCAGACTTGATTTTGCATTTGTTTGTGTGATTATTTAATGTTTGTTTCCCCTCTAAGCTGTTAGCCTGAAAAAGATAGAAATGGTGCCTTTTTTTCCTGTCCATTGTAATATAAATACCCCAAGCCTATCTTTCAGCAAAAATATTATTAATTCTTTTATTAACTGGGCTTTTGAATTATTACAGGTTTCAAATACTGTTCCAGCTACCTTACCTCTGTGTCTCTGAACTGTTCTTTCTGCTTTGGAATATCATTTCACCTCTTCTTACAAATTGAATTTCTACTTATCCTTGACAATCAATTTCAGATGTTATCATTTCTTTAGGGCTTTCCTTTATTCCTGTGATAACCAACCCGACTCCATCTTGTGACTCAGTGCCATTTTGTACCTGTGCTTGAACAAAGCACCCAAAACCTGCTTGGCGGTAAACTTGCTTGCAGTTGCAGGATGTTTTGTAGCTCACCTAGTGTGTAATGAAACTTCCCAGTGGCTCCCACTAATCTGATGTGTTTTTGCTTCTGTAAGAGTCCGTCTGCTCTCCCCTGATCCCTCCCCACCTGAAAGCATGATTTAAAAGGAGAAATCAAACTGCTTCCCATTGCTGAGGAAACTTTCTGGGCGCTAGCCCCTCCTTGGCTGCCAGCTATATTAAATAGGCTTGAATCTGGCACAGAGTGTGGTGCATCTCTATTGTTTGAACTCACTCATCCATAACTCTCCTACTATAGTGAAATCTTTCTTCCTTTGGGGACTCTATTTGTTTAGTTGCACCTCCTTATTAAGCTTAGTTATCTCCAAATTTTATTACAGTTATCTTTTTTTTTCTGATACCGGTGATCAAACTTAGGACCTTGTACTTGTGAGAGGCAGGCACAGTGTCACTGAGCTAAATTCCCAGCCTATTAAAGTTACTCTTATACACATCTTCTCTCTTACTAGGCTATATGCTTGTACCCTGATGACTGAGCTGATCTTTTAGTCAACGTTGAGTTTTTTAACCTATCACAGTGCTGTTAGGCCTCATAAGAAATATGTGTTATAAATCCATGAAATAAATAACTGACAATTAGATTTCTGCTCTGTATCTGAGATATCATTTCCCCAGGTTTTAGAATTAAAAAGTGATCACAGTCTGACCATCTGGAAAAGTAACATGGAGAAATATGAACACAGGAGAGAACTCTCAGAACAGCACTATTTCTGATAGCACAAACTCAAAATCAGCCAAATGCTAACCAACAACAAAAGATAAAGCATAGAGTAATAAAACTGTGTCATCCTTTACCAGTTACAACTCCACATAAGAACACTGACAAAACTTAAAACTGTAGTACTGTATAGAAAAACAAACCCAAAGAATGCTTAGTAAGTAATTCCACTTATATAAAGTTAAACGAAGGCATTGCTAAATTGTTGAGGGATCAGTGCATGGTGGTGTGCCCATAAGGAACATCAGGAAAACCGTGACTGTGCTATAGAGACAGGTGAGTAGCTGCAGTGACAGCTGTGGTGGTGAGGAAGGGACTTTTGGCCAGGAAGCCATGAATAGTATGGTAGGGGGACTTCTGTGATGTTGGCAATGCCCTGTTTTGAGATTGAGATTGTAGTTACGTTGAAATTCTCTGTACAAATATTCACTACCTTGTCTCTGTAGTTGTGGAATATAGCATCTTTACTCTTTTCAGGAAGATATCTAGAAGAAGAATAGCTAGATCAAATGGAATTTCTATTTTTAATTCTTTGGGGAGTCTCCACACTGATTTCCCCATGATTGTACCAATTTACACTCTCACCAACCATGAGGAAGTCGCCTCTCCCCACCCCTGTAGCCTCACTAGCATTTGTTATTGATTGATTTCTTTT